GCCACCTCAATATATCACCTCCCCCAGCTTCTAACCCCCCTTCAAAGAAAAGAGGCCACCTCATTATACCCACTCCTTCCCTCTGCTTCTAGCCTCCTCCAATAGAAAACTAGTTCAATATACCCCCTCCCTCCCCCAGCTTCTAGCTCTCTCCAATAGAAAAATGGGCCACCTCAGTATGCCCACTCCCCCAGCTTCTAGTCCCCCTTGTAATGAATGGCCTCTCCCTAACCCTCTCCAATGAGGACCTCACAGCAGTATCAAAACAATCACTTATTTAACATATTTTCCAGCATTATAATGCATAAAATGTGTGCTTGTGTCTATTTCTACTGAAATCAAAGCCTGTTTCTGCCTTGTCTGTTATTTTTCAATTTTTAAAACATCTTTTGCCAAACATATTGCTTCTCAATGACTTTCCATGACCTTCACTTAAATTCCATGACTTTCCAGGACTGGAAAATGAAAATAACAAATTCCATGACTTTCCAGGTTTTCCATGACCTGTATGAACCCTGGACCTTGGATATCCAGAGGGGAAAAAGGGGTGAAAAGATATTGGGAGGGGGAGATATCTTCTTCCATTTTGACATTGTAATGGAGTTTCTCAGGCAATGGCATACATTTCTTTAAAGTTTTTTTTTTTTTCAGGGAACCCTTCAATGGATGGCGGCGGGACGGGGGAGTGGGGGAGGATGTAGTAATGCGGTACAAACTATGATGATTGGTGCTTTACCAGAAGAGTGAAAGCAACGGGATTCCTCTGTAGACCGCTGATTGCTGTTAACACTTTCTAAACATCTGAAAGCACCTGTTAAAAAAGAAAAAAAATGAAATACAAGAATCTTGGGTACGCTACATACAGTTAAGTTTACATCTACATTGCAAATATTCGCCCTTCATAGCTTCAGAGTTGCAACCAACGAAAGAGAACTCAATTAAAGAATGACCGACATCCGCTGTATTTTTGGACCTCGATAAAATAGTTGATTCAAATGCACGTCGATTATATTGTACAAGTTTTCTTACTTGATCCACACAACCGCAAAGCAGCTATCGATGGACGAACGCATGTTGGACGAACCTTGGCCGCCATGTTGAATTTTGTTCGTTGTGACCGCTGGTCGCACCACGGTTTGGTGGCACTTGTCCGCGGAGACCTAGAAAGAGTTTGAAGGGGGAGGGATCTAGGGAGGGGTGCGGGTGGGGCAGACGTGTGTCGAAAGATCCCCATCTTGTTCAAGTGACAGTAGGTGTTAATTCTCGCTTGTTGTCCTTTTTGTGTAGCTGATGGGAGAGGTGCAGAGAAGGGTATCTTTGTGGCCCTGTTAGGAGACATCAGGAGTGTAAATGCACGTCCCACAAGAATTTCAAGCCTTTTTATTTAGCGATATCCAAAGGTATGTACTTCACTGTTGGAATTTCAACACAAGTCCTGTTCTCCCTTGTTATTTCATCACCCTCAATGTTGTCGTTTGAAAGCTTACTGGTTGTTATAATTTTGTTACAGGGCATCACCTTTAGTTACTCTTTACTGAAGAATCAGCATACATTATAATTTGTATTCTTTTTAATATTTTATTTGGATTCCTGAATATTAACAAGTTATTATGCTCATAAATAAATTTGATTAAATAACAATCTTAACCATGCATGCACATGTAGATCAGTGTGTATTTTATCTCTGTCCACAACATTTAGGGCCAGCAATTTTAAAATTTCAAGAGCTGAGTTCATTGTCTGTTCAGTCAACAATCCCAGACTATTAAATCTATTGAACAATGGAAACAGCATACTTGTAGACTGTCATTTTTTGACAGCTTCTCAAGTTAATCAGCCCTAGCCTATCGCATTTTCTAGTCTAAGTTATCAAAATCTATTTAAATAAATCTTCATCATAAATATTGTCTTGTATATTGTTCAGTATTTTGTAATACATAATTTGAAGGTGAAAATATAATAAGTTCACTGTCCTTAAACCTCTGATAATTTTTCAAAATAACTTTTTTGTAATATAAATAATTAAAAAACACACCATAATGTTGTAATAAAATATATCAAGAAACATCAGCTAAAACCCATTGCAACATGACCAATAAAAATATGGCAATAGTTTTTACTTGTGATCATTAATAGACGATAATAGTTAGATAAACACATTATTTAGGACAGACACAACAGGGTGTCTGCATAAACAGAATGTCTAATTCATACAAAATTTCTAGCATTTTTCTGGTCTCTCTGAGACATACCATTATATTAGTTCATATTGACGTTCATTCCTTACAAGATTTGCTCACTGTCAGTAAATAATGGTCCCTAAATGAACCAAACTGGCCTTGAAGTTTTTTGTTTTTAATTCACTCAAAAATAAGTGAATCAACCCTTCCATTTCTAGGTGTACTTGTAACATGAAAAAATAGAACAAAAAAAATATTCCAACCAGCATCACATGAACTAGGTACTTCTGTATACATGCAGTTTTTACTTCATTGCTGAACATGCAGGACACATGTATGGTATGACTCTGGTACTGAAAGGGTTATTACTCTACATACAAAATTCGAACTTAGATGAGCATAGAACAATGTAAATTCAATAATTTAAAATGAAAATTTAAACATCTTTGAAAATAATGTCAACTGGTTTCCCTGCCATAAGATGTTAAATAATTTTGCCAAAGTCTCTGGTCATAGATCTACAGATTTGGAGAGATCCTGGTATTTTAGGAAAAACTTTCCTCATATTCCAAACAACCTTGTAATAACACTTTTAAACATACTGCACAGTATATGATGCATTTCATCAACACACCTAAAACAAATAGCGCCTTTTTCAGTAACCGTTTTTCTTAAGACTTCAATCATCTTTATTGTCGACTGGCCTAGCAATCATCAACCACACTCTTCGTTCAATGCTTTTAAATATGTACACCAGGCCAAGACTCAGGGCTTTGCCACTGTTGATTACAGTTGATCTCATCAGAACAAGCTGGGCTTTTAAAGGATCAAGTTTCATGCTCTTTTCAAGAATTTCCACCAACCAACCAAGTGAACCTCTGATGCGATTAAGCTGTGATAAGACAACATGACAAAACACAGTATTGTAACACAGGGAACAACATTTTACTCCCACAGCGAAAGCCGGCTGGAAGATTGTGTATGGTGTCTTAATAAATACCATGTATATTACTTTAAAGAGAGGCTCAAAAACGTGGTAAAGGGGCTGAAAAAACAGTGCAAATGCTGCTGAAATGCTCACAAATGCAGTCCACATTTCTCGTCCAACAGCAATCAGGGGCGATGCAAATGAAGATAAGATGACATATCCTGGTTTGACGTATGCAAGCCACTGTTTAGTCATCTCCTCAAACAAACTGTTTAAAAACTGGATGCACTTGTCCATGAGTTCGACATGGTACTTTAGAGTGTCGATGATGGGCTGAACATAAGCTCTTATGAAATCAACATGGCGGTACAGTTGCCACACGGCCCACAAGATGGAAAAGATCGTGTACAGCGTGATCACTGATTCGATTAGTTTGCGCACAGCTGGCGTGTATACTCGATGAGGAATGTACGGTGTCCAATCAGGAAGCCCCTCTCGTAGTTTCTTCTCACTACAAGGCATGGCTATGTCGGCCACTCCCCGTGTCGCGCCTTCCCCCGGGAATGTTTCACAATCTGATGCAGACTCCACTAGCTTTGCGTGCCGCAAAGAACGAAGTATATCCCTGACTTGGCCAGTGTAGTTGACGTGAAAAGTCGCCTCCAGAACGTAACTTCTCGACGACGCAGAACTCCCCCTGTGATGAGGACCGTCGATTTCGACGAGCTCTTGGCACTCAACAGTAAGCGTTCCTGTCATTGCATCGAGGTAACCGAACTTTGCACTGACGCGCAGATCCGCTGCGGAGATCTGTTGACAGTTAAGGAAAGTGCAGTATTCATGATCGAAGTGCTTTCTATCTTTGTAAAGGAACTTCAAGTTTCTTGACAGCGGTTCATATTCCAGCCAGCGCTCTTCGTTTCTAATGTCAAGTTTCCCGCATCGGATTCTTTGAAGAGGAACTCGTGTTATATCCTTGGTAAAAGCTAATGGTGAGTTGATAAATGATGTCGGACTCCTGAGCTCGAAGCCTTTTAAAGAAACGGGACTTTCAGCCATTTCTTCACCGTCTGCAGCCATCTTGAGTCATCTTGATGTAAACAAACATCTTGCGCATAATTAAAAAGATAAACCGCAGTACATTCTTTGGAACCCGAGGGCTCAAGACGAGCTGAATGAGAGCTTGAAGCAGCTTGAAGTCCATTCGGAAAAAAGTTCACGGAGTTGAAAAACTGTTTTCATTTGAAGATGTTGTCTTATAAACCTAGCAGATACATGAAAGAGTAAATGGAGAAGGTATTGTGTTTAGTTTTGTGTCTGTATATAAAAGATTAGAATTGTGAAGACAGAACAGATATCTGGTAATGTATGACTGTTTACATGACTTGTCGGTCTGTAGCTTTCACGTGCAACTACAAGACAGTTAAGCTCATGTGGTTGGTAGATCGATGTCTTACAAATACCTTATCAGTGTTTAAGTTATGAAATATTTGAGACGTTAGATTACAAAACGTTGTTAAAGATCCAGATATCTTTGAGTAACATCTAACTCCCCCCCCCCC